CGAACAAAAACATGCATCTAATTTACTGGGCTGACTGCAGGCGGACGTCACCTGCAAGCCAGCATTGCAACCTGACACGCCTTGGCGCGAACGGCACACGTACAGAGGCGCCGAACACTTCCATTGCTGAACAATCGAACGCCAACAGTGAAACCGTGAGAAATCGAAAAACGCGGGGAAACAAAACACATGAAAAAACTTGGATCTGGGCTGGACCCCCTCCTCCCTGGCGCGGAGCGCACCAGGGGCGGCGCTGATGGCGCCGCCAGGGGGCCCATGGCGACCGAAACTCACCGAGCCAAAAAAACACCCGTCGCCGAAAGCGGCTGGCCGCATCTAAGCAAACTGTCGCCGCTCTGGCAACTTCTACAGCAAAATTAATCGGCATCCTCATCCTGATCCCCGAGCCCCCTCCAACCTCCACCTCCCCCACCCCCTCCGATGCCAAAAAATAAGGCGGGCGACTCCACGGATTAGGCCCGGGTGCGTGGAACGTGCGCCACGGGTGAGCAGTCCTCCCTGGCAAGACCAAGGGTCGCGCACTACTTTCGCACCCAGAGGCGGGGAAGTCGGAGGCAGCGCCTCCCAGGGGGTGCCAAATGAAACAAAGACGTTGACAAGTTGATAAGGTCTTACGACAGAAGCATCCGTCCACTGCTACACTTGTCTGGCTACTTTGGCAAAGCGTGCGCACGCAGGGCAACCGCGAAACAACAAGCACGCACGCAGGGCAAGCAGGTTGCAGTACCCCATGGCAGTTGTAGGATAGTGAGAGGAAAGGATGATCGGCTAGAAAACGGAAGCGGTTGTGCGTGCATGTGTGCATGTTTCTAGGCTGTGACAACCCACGGATACCACAGATTGACAGCTTCAAAAAAGTATCAACCAAACGTGTGCTGCGTAAGCTCAAGGACAAAGTGCGGCCAGTTTGCCACAACTGCCACTAGGGGCAAGCTCTCCCCCACAAGACAGATAACGTCTGGCATTACACGCACCAGCCGTAAGGCCTTCTCAATATGAAAAACTACGCCCAGGTAAGGTGGTTATTGCGAGTCTCCAAGTAAGTGTGCTGCACGAACTCCGAAATGCTGCCAATGTCACGAGGCACGTCGACAGACACTCTGCGTCCCGTGCTTTTCGGCTCCTCTGCGTTGTCGTACATCGTCTTCAAGACGGCGGCGGCTGTGCGGTAGCGTGTCGCGAAATAGCACTGGTGGCAATCGCATATGCGGCCGAGTGCCTGGATGTCAGCATCGTGAACGTGCGCGGCTCAGGGGTCACGGAAGAAGAAAACTGCGTGCACTGTACCTTCCGTGACCAACGCCCCAAGCTGCTGATCTCCACCACGTGGGCCACTGGCGAGCTGCTTGAAACACGAGCAACCCTCGGCCGTGATAATAGAACACGTTGTTCCCGTGCCAGTGAATTCGAAGGCGTTGAGCATCGAGAAGTGCACCTGGATGAACTTGCGCATCAAAGGGCTTTATGTTGTCGTGTGCGACGAGGGCGATCTTGCACCGATGCCCGTCAGGGCCAGCGGGGGTGGTCGGCGGTACGCAATTGGTTAATTAACTCGCTACACTATGTGGTCCGCGCGCGCTTCGCGTAGCCGGTGCACAGCCCATCGCCCTCGTAGGGCCTGCGGCGTACGAGGACCAGGGTCTCGATTGCAGCCTCCAGCTCGAGCCAAGATGGCCGCGGGTTTGTTCGGTAGAACTACGGCAAAAATCCGCAGGTGTGTTCGGTTCCTGTTCGGGGTGCTGGTCGGTTTCTGCTCGGAGGTTTGTTCGGTTCCTGTTCGGGGGGCTGTCCGGTAGAAGTTCGGAAATTGGTTGTGGAGTTCGTGGGTTGGCTGTATTTTCCACCCACTCCACCCCACCCCACCCCACACCACACCCCATCATTACTTCTTATGATTCAACACCCCCAAACCCCCACATAGCCGGCCGATAGCATTCCCGCCGTCCTAACTGTGGATAAAAAACCTACAACTCAACTTTTCTCTCGCCATCACGTCGTCGAGTTGCGAAAAGTGTGGCAGGAATGGGACGGAATGCGCACCGTTTGGGTAACCCCAAGCGGGCGGTTGCGTCCCATCCATCAAAAAACACTACAAATCAACGTTTGTTTTCGTGTCCATGGATTTCGTTGTCGCCGACGCTGCGAAACATGTAGCAGGACTGTGACGAAATGAACATCGCTCGGGTAAGCTCAAGCGGGTGGTCGCGTCCTACCCATAAATATTAGTAAGAACAGTAGTACGTATTATAATACTATCAATAAACATAAAAATGAAAATGCTAAAAAAAAAAAAAAAGTTTTTCTCGCCAACATGAGCTGTATCGTCGTCGACGCTGCGAAGCGTGTAGCAGGAATGGGACGCGGCGCACATCGCGCGCGGACGCCTGGCCAATCCTACACGGAATCCCCCGTCCTCCTGTCAGAAAAAAACAGCAACGTCGACGTGATTCTTGCCAACATGTGCATTCTCGTCGGCGCAACGAATCGCGCAACGGGATTGGGACGCGGCGCACATCCCGCGGGGCTCCTGCTCGTCAACATGGACTTTCTTGTCGTCGACGCTGCGGCCCGTCGGGTTGAGGAGCTGGGCGGGCGTGCGTCGCGCGCGGTCTTGTTTCTCGTCGACGTTGCGCAATACGCGGCAGGAATAGGACGCACCTCGCGTCGCGCGCTAGGCGTCTAGCCGCCCACGATATAAGATGAGCGACAGGCGTCGGACGGGACGCACTTGCTTCTTATGTTGCGGGAGGGCGGGTGGGAGTGGACGGAGCCCTCTGGCTCGTTCGAGCTGGCTAAGTTGACCCCGCCCCACCCCACCCCACCCCACCCCACCCCACCCCACACCCCACCCCACCCCACCCCATCATCTCCTCCACCTTTTCCTCCTCCTCCTCCTCGTCCTCCTCCTCCGTTCCTTTTCCTTCTGAGTAACTTCGCCCTGTCGCACCCCGAGGCAAGTTTTTAGTGCGGGCCGGGCGTTTCGCTTGAGACTTCCCCACCACGTATGACTCTGAAGCTTAGAAGTGGCAGCGGTTTCACACATAAAAGGCGGGTGGCTTTCAAAATGCTGCTCTCGCCCTAGCGCCGCGCACATTCTGTTCACAGGTTTGCAAAGAATTTCACGGATTGAGCGCGAGTCGTTTTCAAAATGTGGCTCTCGCCCTAGCGCCGCGCACGCTCGTGTTAAACAACATGCAACAGCTTCACGGGTTGAGGGCGGGTCGTTTTCAAAATGTGGCTCTCGCCTCAGCGCCGCGTGCGTTCGTTTTCAAAAAATAAAAATAGTACACGGAGTGAGGGCGGGTGGTTTTCAAAATGTGTTTCTCGCCTCAACGCCGCGCACAGTCGACTTTAAACTTTGCAGTCGTTTCACGGAATGAAGGCGGGTGGCTTTCAAAAGGTGGCTCTCGCCATCGCGCCGCGCACATTTTTTAAACAACTTGCAAGAGCTTCGAGGGTTGAGGGCGGGTCGTTTTCAAAATGTGGCTCTCGCCCCAGCGCCGCGCACATTCGTTTTTCAAAAACTTGCAAGAACTTCGCGGATTGAGGGAGGTTTCTGTTCAAAATGTGGCTCCCGCGTCAACGCCGTGCACATTGGCTTTCAAAAAATGCAAAAGTTTCACGAATTCCCACGGTCAACGTACCGGAAATTGCGTTTTGGAAGAATTCTGCATTATGCGGGTGCAAAATTTATGTTGGCTCGCGATGTTGAAGTCCCACGGTTCCGGAACGTCGAGACGCAGCAGTCAAGTTGATCCGTAGTGTTGAAATCCCGAGAACTATGTTTTGGCATGCTTCAGGCCCCTGCTACGGCTCAGATCCCTCAATGGAAACTGAACCGTAGTAGGGGCCTATGAAGAGTGAGCCTGGAGGGGGGGCTACTTCCAACATCATTGATGACTCTTGGGTTTACACTGGTTCTCGTCCTCCTCCTCCTCCTCCTCCTCCTTCTCCTCCTCCTCCTCGCAACCCCCTCCCACTCCCACTCCTCCTCCCGCTCTCCTCCCACCCTCCTCCCACCTTCCTCCCACCCTCCTCCCACCTTCCTCCCACGCCCTTCCCGCCCTCCTCCCACGCTCCTCCCACCCTCCTCCTCTTCCTCCTCCTCTTCCTCCTCCTCCTCCTCCTCCTCCTCCTCCTCCTCCTCCTCCTCCTCGTCTTCCTCCTCCTCCTCCTCCTCCTCCTCCTCCTCCTCCTCCTGCTCCTCCCCATCCCCATCCCCTCCCAATGCAGCCGTGGCCACGAGGGCCACTGGGAGGCAGGAAAAAGAGAAACTGGGTTCGGATTTCGCCGCCGAATCTGCTCCAGCCCCACTCTTGCCGTCGCTCGGACGTCCATTTCCCGTGCATTTGTCGGTTTCGTGCGTGTTTTTTTTGCTCGATGGTCCAGGATGGTCCTCGATGGTTCTCGCCGAAAAAAAGTGCACACGTCCGAGCGATGCCAAGCACTTGGGCGGCCCAGATCTGAGTGCCCAGGCCCCCCCGCAGCCTGCCAGGGCCTCGCAGCAGGGCGCGAGCGGCGCGAGCGGTGGGGCCTCCCCGGGAGGCCGCCCTGAGCCAAGTAGCGACCTGCTTCGTGGATGCGCCTGCCGACGCGTTCGCGCGGCCTGTTCTGAAGGGGCCCCAGGACACACAAACAAATACACACACATAAAAACATTCCCCATATTTTCCTATATGTTTGGGGGTTTTCGTCTTCCCGCACTTCCAATATTTTCCCATATGTTTCTGGGAATCGACGATTGATTGTGTCTGTGTGTTTTCCCCCCTGATATGCACCGCCGGCACGCCTGTCAATGCGGAGCTTCGGTGGCGACGCCTGGGCGCATCCTTCAACATGCGCTCTCTACCGCCCCTTCCTCTGGGCAGCCACATGCTCGTCACCATCCCCCCTTTCGTCTGCGTCCCCGCCCGCCGCCCCTCCCACCACCTCCTTTCCCCTCCGCGCACGTCTGTCCTCCCCTCCTCTCCACACTCCCATCTCGATTGGTCCAGGAAGCACTGGCAGCCATAGCACTCGCGAACAAATTCGCGCTCACGTCACGTGTGAAGCACGCAACCGATGACGGGACTGGCTCACAAAGAAGACACCGTTGTACCGCGTCTCATTGTGCAAACCTCGCTATACCTGCGGCCAAACAAATCGCGACAACCACATCATGGTCTCATCGGGTGTTGCGAGGGACTTTTGCGCACAAGACAGCCGCCGGCTGGTGAGATCATCAGTCGCCATCGTCACTCGTCCAACGGCTCCAAGACTAGCTCCATGATGACAAACTGCTTACCCTCGCGCGCGAAGGCTTCTCCTGAAAAGGCTTACACGCTCGGTCCGGTGCAACCCATGGTGATGGTGCAGCGTGAACTCCCCCGACAAAAGACGACTACGCCCGCATTCCATGCAGTCAATTCTGTACCCACTGACCTAAAGTTTGCTCATGCGCGTCGCACTCAGCTAGACAAGGAATAATACCGCGGAGGTGCTAGACCTGACCTGTGCTTGGGCCAGTCGTAGTGCAAAGGTGAGGTGGTCTGATAATACATTGGACCAGAACCATCGCGCGCCCTCAAAAAGCTTACAGACCAGAATACTGACCACGCCCAAACGAGAAGGATTCTTGGAATCCGAAACCAACGCAATCACGAAAAAGGTTCTGACAGCACAAAACGGCTGAAGATGCCACAAGAACAGCCCAAGATGTTCCCAAGACGGCCCAATAAGCTCCCAAGACGACCCCACGAGGGCCCCTAGACGATACAAGGGACCTCCAGGATGGCCCGGAAGCGTACCAAGAGGGCCCAAGATGGCATCCGAAGGCGTCAGAAGGACCAAGAGATCCCTAAGGCGGCACAAAGGCCCCCAAGAGGCCCCGAAGAGGCCCTCCAGGAGGCATGCGAGAGGCCCCTAAGAGGGCCCCCAAGAGTCCAGGGAACACGGTCGATGTTTAACCCAATCGAATTCAGACCGCGCGCTGAATTGCAGATATCATTATATAACTCAACCTGCTTGACGCAGCGCTGCTGCACTGGCACGGTGGCTGGCGTGTCGCAGGCAGCAGAATAACACATGTCTATGTGAATGACAACATGTGTCTACTTGCGTTCGCAGTAAAGGTGCAACTGAGATGTTGACGCACGATTTCACGCTGCGCAGAGGTCCAGTTTGCTGAAGGCCCAACTTGGCGTAGAACTGAGCCTGCGCGCGGCCAAAACGTAATGACCACTGGCTGCAGCAGAAGCTCAAGAGATTCAATTATCGAGACGAAGAACGATAGGATCAATGCTGTGTGCAATTTCCACGTCAGAACGCGAGGCTGATGTCCAAATTACACAGTCCAACTAACTAGAACATGCTCACACACATGCGCCGATCCTGTTGGCGTGTGTGAGGGGCTTTCCGTTGTCGTCGTCGTTGCCGTCGTCGTTGCTGTCCCTAGGCCCTCCTTCTCACACCTCCCAGCCAAAAGGACATCGAACAACGTCGTAATCGAGTTGCAGGAAAGCCTTTGATCCTTCCCCCGGGTCCGGGGGCGGGCCCATGGGGGGTCCTGGGAGGGGGTACTGGGGTGGGTCCTGAAGGGGGTTCCGATAAGGGCCCCTGGGATGGTGACCGCCCCTTCCTCCCTGGGGGGAGCAGCCCTCTCTGGGATAAGTCTTTACAATAAACCTCCAAGACGGCCCGAGATACCCTCAAGACGATATCGTAAGCCCACAAGACGTCTCAAGAGGGCCCCAAGAAGAGCCTCAAAAAGGCCCCAAGAAACGAACTCAAATGATGCTCATTCTGTGTTTTTGTGATTTTCGGGTTCTCGCCTTTTTGGGCTCCGACGCTCCGAGGCGGCCCAGGAAGCCACCAACATCGCCTCAAGACGGTCAAACAGGCTGCCGAAAGCGCAAAGAAACGGCCCAAGACGACCTCGCGACTGCCCAAGACGGCCCCAAGACCGCCCAAGAGGCCCCCGACACAGCCGTGGGGCCCCCAAAAGACCCCTGGAGGCTCCCGAGAGGCGGACATCCAACAGACATGTCGAGCCTTTCGCCCAAAGAGACCGCCAGGAGGCCCCAGGATGCGCCGGAGAAGCCCCCAAGAGGCTCCCAAGAGGCCCGCGAGAGCGCCAAGAGCACTTCCAAGACGACCCCAAGAGGTAAACGAATCCGCCGACCCCCGCTTGCCAGGGGTGGAAAGGCGCGTGATATGATTGGCTGTCCCCCTCTCCATTTCCCCTTCCCCTAGGTTCCCAAATCTGGCCAGCGGAGCCTCCAAAAAGGCGCAAGACTGCCCAGAAGGCCCCACGAAGAGTGCCACGACAATCCAACAGAGCGTCGAGACGGCTAACTGTGGCCTTTTGGCGGACCAAGATGTTTCGGGACGGCCCACGAGGCTCCCAAGACGGCCCAAGAGAGTTCCCAGAGGACCGCCGAAAAGACCCCCAGAGGCAAACGGCGTCCAACATGGCCCAAGAGAACCCCAAGAGGGCCCCAAGAGAGCCGAAGAGGGGGGAATACGACCTGATACTTCGAGCCTGTCCCCCAAAATAGCCCCAACAGCTCGCCAGAGGCCCCCGAAGCGCTCGTAAGAGGCCCCAGTAGGCCTCCAAGACGACCCCAGGAAGCACCCAAAAGACCCCCAAGAGGCCCAAACAAAACTCCCCCAATGCACCCCAGATGCCTCCAAGAGGCCCCTGAGAGGCACCCCGAGAGACCTTCAGATTCATCCGAGAACCTCCCGACCCACAGCCCAAACAGCAATGGCACCCACGTTTGCCCAAGAATGTCCACAATGGCCTCCCAGACGGCCAAAGTGGGTCCAAGATGCCCCCAAGTCCGCCCCGAAAGCCTCCAAGATGGCCGAATACGGCCCCAGAGGCCCCCAAGATGCTTCCAAGACGTCGCACGAGGCCCCCAACAAATCTTCTAAGAGGGCCCGACGACACACCAAAACGGTTCCGACGGCGTCAGACAAGCCAGGAACGCCGATAGACAGCCAAACAGGCCCACACGAATCCCCCAAAGGCCCCCGAGAGGGCCAAGACTACCACACACACACACACACACACACACACACACACGCGCGCACGCACGCACGCACGCACGCACACACACGCACACACACACACACCCACACACACGCACGCACACACGCACGCACGCACGCACGCGCGCACACGCACACACACACACACATACACACATACACACATACACACACACACACACGCACGCACGCACGCACGCACGCACGCACGCACACACACACATACACACACAACACACACACACACACACACACACACGCGCGCGCGCACGCACGCACGCACGCACGCACGCACGCACGCACGTACGCGCACGCGCACACGCACACGCACACGCACACGCACACACACACAGACACAGGCACAGATGACACAGACACAGACACAGACACATAGACACACACACAAGGCAGAAATGAAAAGGCAACTCTTCATCTCCAGCCAGGGTGCTCGCAAACGGAACACAAACGTTTCGGAAGCCCCTGACATCCCACTTCAGGCCTGTCGCGGGGCGCTCCCCCATAGAAACAATAACCTGGGGAGGTACCCGACCCTTTTAAGCATGTGGCGAGTATACATCGGACCGCTCAACACAAAAGCAATCATTGAATGATCCGCAATTCCCATGAACGCTTCGTCAAAGAACGTCGGGCCATAATCAGATGTTTCACACATACGGCGTCACTCTTAAGAGTCAGGTATTTGGCAGGATAGCGACCACGAGGGAACGTGGAAACACGTGAAGGAGGGACGAGTGCGTGGGAGTAGCAGCGCCTTGCGCTGCGTTCGCATTGCAGGACAGCGCTCGGCGCGCTGTGACAGTACAGCGCCTTGCGCTAAACGTAGCGTACGCCCGCATGCGTTACAAGCAACAGGCAGCTGAAGAAGGGATGCGGCATGGGCAACAGACAACGCCATGCGCTGTTCGTTGCGCGGCGCTCGCACACGCCGCGGTGTGCGATCGAACAGCGCCATGCGCAATGCGACGGGGAGAGGTCGTGCGTCCACGGGGCGGATATATGCAAGGCTGGGATCACACCTGTCTGCGCCTCATGTATTCACTCCTGTGCCTGACTGCCGCCGGGTGTATATACCCGGCCACCCATGCCTCATGGGACTGGTGGCGACGGTCTCGCAGATCGCAGCCCCCAAAGGGACGGCGAGGTCTCGTGGTAATCTGCGTGGGGCACCCCTCCGATGGATCTCTTAGGAGCCCACGAAAGTGGCGACGGCTTCGCAGATCGCAGCCCCAGGGGAATGAGAGCTCTCGTGGTGATCCCCGTATGATGCCCCTCCGCTAGACCTCCTAGGAGCCCACGAAAATGGCGACGGCTTCGCAGATCGCAGCCCCCCGGGGGACGGCGAGGTCTCGTGGTGACCTGCGTGGGGCACCCTCCGCAAGACCTCCTAGGAGCCCGCGACAGTGGCGGCAGTTTCGCAGATCGCAGCCACCAAGGGGACGACGAGGTCTCGTGGTGATCTGCGTGGGACACCCCTCCGCTGGACCTCCCCGGAGCCCACGGAAGTGGCGACAATTTCGCAGAGCGCAACCACCCAGGGGACGGCGAGGTCTCTTTGTGATCTGCATGGGACACCCCTCCGCTGGACCTCCCCAGAGCCCACGGAAGTGGCGACGGTCTCGCACATCGCAACCCCCCCAGGGGACGACGAGGTCTCTTTGTGATCTGCATGGGACACCCCTTCGCTGGACCTCCCCAGAGCCCACGGAAGTGACGACGGTTGCGCAGATCGCAGCTCCCCAGGGGACGGCGAGGTCTCGTGGTGATCTGCGTGGGACACCCATCCGCTGGACCTCACAGGAGCCGACGGAAAAGACCGACAATTTCGCAGATCGCAGCCACCAAGGGGACGACGAAGTCTCGCGGTGATCTGCGTGGGACACCCCTCTGCTGGACCTCCCAGGAGCCCACGAAAGTGGCGACGGTCTCGCACATCGCAGCCACCACAGGTGACCGCGAGGTCTCCGTGGGACACACCCTCCTCTAGACCCCCAAGGAGCCCATAAAAGTGGCGACGGTCTCGCACATCGCAGCCACCACAGGTGACCGCGAGGTCTCGTGGTGATCTGCGTGGGGCACCCCTCTGCTGGACCTCCTAGGAGCCCACGGAAGTGGCGACGGTTTCGCAGATCGCAGCCCCCCAGGGGACGGCGAGGTCTCGTGGTGTTCTGCGTGGGACACCCCTCCGCTGGACCTCACAGGAGCCCACAAAAAGGGCGACAATTCCGCAGATCGCAGCCACCAAAGGGACGACGAAGTCTCGTGGTGATCTGCGTGGGACACCCCTCCGCTGGACCTCCCAGGAGCCCGCGGAAGTGGCGACGGTCTCGCACATCGCAACCCCCCCAGGGGACGGCGAGGTCTCGCGGTGATCTGCGCGGGGCACCCCTCCGCTGGACCTCCTAGGAGCCCACGGAAGTGGCGACGGTCTCGCAGATCGCAGCACCCAAAAGGGACGGCGAGGTCTCGTGGTGATCTGCGTGGGACACCCCTCCGCGAGACTTCGCCGTCCCCAAGGGGGCTGCGATCTGCGAAACCATCGCCACTTCCGTGGGCTCCGAGGAGGTCCAGCGGAAGGGTGTCCCACGCAGATCCGCGAGACCTCGCCGTTCCCTGGGGTGCTGCGATCTGCGAGACCGTCGCCACTTTTGCGGGCTCCTTGGGGGTCTAGCGGTAGCGGAGGGGTGTCCCACGGAGACCTCGTCGTCACTTGGGGTGGCTGCGATGTGCGAGACCGTCGCCATTTTCGTGGGCTCCTGGGAGGTCCAGCGGAGGGGTGCCCCACGCAGATCACCACGAGACTTAGTCGTCCCCTTGGTGGCTGCGATCTGCGAAATTGTCGCCCTTTCCCGTGGGTTCCTGCGAGGTCCAGCGGAGGGGTGTCCCACACAGATCACCACGAGACCTCGCCGTCCCCTGGGGGGCTGCGATCTGCGAGACCGTCGCCACTTCCGTGGGCTCCTAGGAGGTCCAGCGAAGGGGTGTCCCACGCAGATCACCACGAGACTTCGCCGTCTCTTGGGGCGCTGCGATCTGCGAGACCGTCGCCACTTCCGTGGGCTCCTAGGGGGTCTAGCGGAGGGGTACCGGCCAGATGTCAGGGGATGCGTGGGTCGAGTCTCACTTTTCTAAAGAAGGGAATT